GGATGCTCAAGGCTTAACTGCCTTTTTTTTTTCTTCTTCAGTGCAGACTCCAAGAAAACTCAGAGTTTCTTACTGGTTTAGGTTGCATTCCTCTTCACTGAATATTATCATCCTAAGTTATATTATCTGGAGCAAAGGAACTTTGATTAGCTCTTATAGGCGTCTGAGTGAAAAGCATTTTCCTTTCCGTCTTTTAAAAACACTTTTGCAAAAAGCCCGAATTTATGCATTCAGGAGTCTTCAGGTGTTACATAATAACAGATTAAACTTTCAAGAGGCATTTTCATGCATGTTTAATGTTCAACTGGGATTTTTTAGAAACTTGTAGCCGCAGTTCAGTTATGAAGAACCTACTTTTGAATCTCTGTTATCGGTGTGTGTGAGATTTGATTTGGTCTCCTGCAAGTTTAATCAGCACATATTACTTATGCATACATTTCATAAGTTGTATTTAGATACATTTAAGTTTTTCTGTGCCATGCTGGTCATTTTAATGTTTAATTTTTCTGTATACTAATGTACAAGACTGTAAAAAAAAGTCTGATGAAAGTCATTAGAAGTGTGAAAACAAACATCATTATTTCTTGCATGTACATTTGGGTGTCTGTTTATTAATGTGCACAAAATGGAACAAAAATTAAACCCGTACTGTTTTAGCTCATTTAGTTTAGTAGGAAATATATGCAATTTATTTCCTCAGAAATGTACAAAAACAATTTGTCTGTTTAAATAGTACTTGAATAAGATACACCACCCCGATGAAAGTACAGTAATCAAGTGCAGTTACTCAAATATGTTACACCCCTGTAGATTATAAAAAAAGTTAAATGTTATATGAAGCTAAAAGGTATATGAAGCTGAAAATATGCTTTGTGAAAAAAACAAAAATCATTGGTTCTTGCATGTTAAACACTTTCACTTGTGTGTCTATTTGTATGTGCATAAAAAACAAACAAACATAAAGGATTTATTCATTCATTCATTTTCCTTCAGCTTAGTCCCTTATTTATCAGAGGTCACCACAGCAGAATGAACCGACAACTTATCCAGCATATGTTTGATACAGTGGATGCCTTTCACTTATAACACTTCTACACCATACATTCACACACATACACTACAGCCAATTTAGTTTATTTTATTCATATATAATGCATGTCTTTGGACTGTGGGGAAAACCAGAACACTCGGAGGAAAAAACCCAATGCAGGGAAAACATGCAAACTCCAACTGGCCCAGCCGCGACTTTCTTGCTGTGAGATGACAGTGCTAATCATTGAGCCACTGAGTCGCCCAAAAAATGTTTTCTATAATATAAAAAGGTATTGAAAATGTATCTAAAAAGTAAACAAAGATATATAAAATATAACTAACAGTGTTTTGTTTAAAAGAAATAAAATAATTTTTTTTCAGAAATGTACCAAAGTAAAAAGACAAGTTGTCAAAATTAGATTGTACTTGAGTAAATTACAAATACCAAGATAAACACTTAAAGGGATAGTTCACCCGAAAACGAAAACGCTAGCATTTTCAAAAACCTCCACTTTGAATTTTTTTTTTTTTATTATTCATGCAAATTTGGCATGGTTTTCAGTTGCAAAACAACAATGTCATGTGAACAAACAGGCAAAATCTATAAAAACATTCTTATTTTTAGCTGAAAACATTGTCATATAAATTTTGTGTGGTCAAAAGTATAGAGTTTGATACTTTTCGTTACTGAAATTTTAAAAACACCCATTTCCTGCTAACATGTGAGCACTTTTGAGCGTGTTCTTAAACACCACTGATTGGCCATTGTGTTCATGTGCTCAACAGAAATAATTGTGATTGACCGTGAAGGTCATCACTTCATTGCTTCAATGTCATTACACACATAAACAGTGGAAACACACACACACAGCACACAGATTTTTTTTATTGTCACTGATCAAACAATAGTAACTCCACTACAAATATCTGATCATTTCCTTCTGTCTCTCAACATCCACATTACTCCTGAGCCGCCACACACTCCAACACTGGTTACCTTTCGCAGAAACCTACGATCTCTCTCACCCAATAGACTATCCACCATTGTTTCAGACTCTCTTCCTCCATCTCGCAAACTCACTGCACTTGATTCGAACAGTGCCACTAATACACTCTGCTCCACACTAGCATCATGTCTAGACCGATTATGTCCTCTTGCATCCAGGCCAGCCCGTGCCAGTCCTCCTGCACCCTGGCTCTCGGATGCTCTCCGTGAGCATCGCTCAAAACTTCGGGCTGCAGAGAGAATTTGGCGGAAAACTAAAAATCCTGCACATCTCTTAACATACCAAACTCTTCTGTCCTCTTTCTCAGCTGAGGTTACTTCTGCAAAGCAGACGTATTACCGTCTGAAAATCAACAATGCCACTAATCCTCGCCTACTTTTTAAAACATTTTCCTCCCTCCTCTATCCTCCTCCTCCACCCGCATCCTCCACACTTACTACTGATGACTTTGCTACATTCTTCTGCACCAAAACTGCAAAAATCAGTGCTCAATTTGCTGCACCTACAACAAACACGCAAGATACAACACCAACACCACACACACTCACCTCTTTTTCTCAGCTCTCTGAGTCTGAGGTGTCCAAACTTGTGCTATCTAGCCATGCAACCACCTGTCCACTCGATCCCATTCCCTCTCATCTCTTGCAAGCCATCTCTCCTGCAGTCATACCAACACTGACTCACATAATTAACACATCTCTTGACTCTGGTTTATTCCCCACTACATTTAAGCAGGCTAGGGTAACCCCACTGCTAAAGAAACCCAACCTGGACCATACGCTACTTGAAAACTACAGACCAGTATCCCTGCTTCCATTCATGGCCAAGATTCTGGAGAAAGTAGTGTTCAATCAAGTCCTGGACTTTCTTACTCAAAACAATCTCATGGACAACAAGCAATCCGGCTTTAAGAAAGGCCACTCAACTGAGACTGCCCTGCTCTCGGTCGTGGAGGATCTCAGACTGGCTAAAGCAGACTCTAAATCATCAGTCCTCATTTTGCTGGACTTGTCAGCTGCTTTTGACACTGTCAACCACCAGATCCTGCTATCTACGCTTGAGTCACTGGGCGTTGCGGGCACTGTTATACAATGGTTCAGATCTTACCTCTCTGACAGGTCATTCAGGGTGTCTTGGAGGGGAGAGGTGTCCAACCTACAGCATCTAAACACTGGGGTACCTCAAGGCTCTGTTCTTGGGCCACTTCTCTTCTCCATCTACACATCATCTCTAGGACCAGTCATCCAGAGACATGGATTCTCCTACCACTGCTATGCTGATGACACCCAGCTATACCTCTCTTTTCATCCTGATGATCCCTCCGTTCCAGCTCGTATCTCAGCCTGCCTGTTGGATATTTCACACTGGATGAAAGATCATCATCTTCAGCTGAACCTCGCAAAAACGGAAATGCTTATAGTTTCTGCCAACCCGACTCTACACCATAACTTTTCAATCCAGATGGATGGGGCAACCATTACTGCATCCAAAATGGTGAAAAGCCTTGGAGTAACGATTGATGACCAACTAAACTTCTCTGACCACATTTCTAGAACTGCTCGATCGTGCAGATTTGCACTCTATAACATCAGAAAGATCCGACCCTTCTTATCTGAACATGCAGCTCAACTCCTTGTTCAAGCTCTTGTTCTCTCCAAACTGGATTACTGCAACTCTCTACTAGCTGGGCTTCCAGCTAACTCTATCAAGCCTCTTCAACTGCTCCAGAATGCAGCAGCACGGGTTGTCTTCAATGAACCTAAACGAGCACATGTCACTCGGCTGCTAGTCCGTTTGCACTGGCTGCCAGTTGCTGCTCGCATCAAATTCAAAACTCTGATGTTTGCCTACAAAGTGACTTCTGGCCTAGCACCTTCTTATCTGCACTCACTTCTGCAGATCTATGTGCCCTCCAGAAACTTGCGTTCTGTGAATGAACGTCGCCTCGTGGTTCCATCCCAAAGAGGGAAAAAATCACTTTCGCGAACGCTCACGCTCAATCTGCCCAGTTGGTGGAATGAACTCCCTAACTGCATCAGAACAGCAGAGTCACTCGCTATTTTCAAGAAACGACTAAAAACTCAACTATTTAGTCTCCACTTCACTTCCTAATCTGCAATTGCCTCTTTGAATATCACACTAATTGTACAAAAAAAAAAAAAAAAAAAAAAAAAAAAAAACTACTAACACTTCCCTTCTTAGACTTTACAGACCTGAAACTTGCCTTTAGTACTTATTCATTGTTGCTCTTAGTTGTGTAAATTGCTTCCTTGTCCTCATTTGTAAGTCGCTTTGGATAAAAGCGTCTGCTAAATGACTAAATGTAAATGTAAATGTAAATGTAGATTTAACTTTGCACTGTTTTTGCATGGCAAATGTACATGTTAATATCCACTGCTGCTGGATATCCGTTATGATAATGTACAAAGTAAACCCGATTTAACGTCCACAAACTGGGATTGAAGCGTCTTTTTTTATAATTGTTCTGACACACGGCTGTGCTGATGAATTACATAGCAATTTTACCATCTTTAACTGACTTTGATACAAATATGCACTGTTTTAAAAACTTGTGAAAATCATTCTTCATCACATTTGATGATGATTGATGATAACAGCGAGCTAAACAACTCATTTAATCTAATGCTTTGCACATGTCCTGTCTTGTTGATAAGATTATACAAGTTACTACAGAAACGTGTTAATACGTGACTGTCAATCAATTTGGTGGGCGGGAAAACTGCATTCCTGCGTCACGTTGCGGTGGGCATGTAAGCCATGCCCATTACCTCAGACAGACGTAATCTGAGAATTTAAGTGAAAACAGGAAGAACATTTTCAGATTTTAATTTTAGATTAAAAGGGCAAACTATTTCTTTTCTTGACTATTTTTTTAATTTCCTTTGTACTTCCGCTGATACTAATAGATCTCCATCTTTGTGTTTTTCCATCTCTGTGCAGAGGATGAGCTGTAGTTATCTCCTGTGCACCATTCTGCTGTTTGTTGCCGTTTTACTGGCCGTGACAGTAACCGGGATCATCCTCCTGATGAACCATTACCAGGCTCCCAGCGGCCCCGATGGCCCCCCGCTCATCAGCACCAATCAGGACGAGGGAAACGCCCTGGTGACCATCGAGCGGGGCGATGGCTCCCGCATCAACATCTTCATCGACCCCAACTGTCCCGACTACAACAATAACTTCCTGCGTCTGGAGGGGGTTCAGACCTCACTGCTGCACTCACTCACCGACCACGACACTGATCTGAAATCAGTGAAAGGCCAGGATCGGGCTCTGCTGGTTAAACTGGCTGAGGAGGTGGCCAAACTGTCCGCTCACGCCAGCCAGCTGAAGATGGAGTACAACGCTTTGAGGCAAGGCCAGGGCAACATCGGGCAGGAGCTAAGCACACTGCAGACGGAACAGGGCAGACTCATACAGGTCAGTTTTCACTGTGGCCTTCCTGATACTGTGTGATGCTAGAAACGATGAGGTTGTAAACATTGAATATTTTCAAACTCAAGGGATCAAACTCAACTCAAAAAATTTATTTAATGTATAATGTGATTAGATTTTTGTCCCCAAATTGTAAAGCCCTAAAATGTTGCTCCAAAAAGCAGACATGCCGAATCGGCCTGAAATGAATTTGCCCCTGCGTTTCTCATTTTATCCACTAAACAAACATCCAGTACAAACCAGCTCTGAACTTCTGGCATGAAGAACTTTGCAAAAGCAAGATTTTAAAACACAACAATGTCGACAGAATGAATGGCACCTTCGTCAGAGGTGCTGGCATTGTTTTAGTGGCTTATTCACCGAAGGACTTATGCAGATTTGCTAGAAGTGTGGATGCGGTAGTTGGAAATGCTGTACTCTGTGTGATCTGGCAGATTCTGCGATGCAGGTGCCTGATTCAGCTCACTTCACCTCACTCGTCTGGATTTATGCCGGCTCATAATGGAGCAACTCTTCTAAATTTGGTTTGCCGTCTGCTTTCTGTGGGCAGTAATACTGTGGCCTTAATAGTGCCAGACACAAGGGTTTTGTAAACGCTGCATCATCTAAAATAAGCTTAATTTCATTTACATTCATTTAATGTACTCTACATAAAAACATTGACCTGATTTGTGGTGAAAATAATTGTAGCTTAAACAGTTATGAAGTGTTCCTATTTAGCGTTTGATTGAATGTTTTGTTTGTGGTTTGTGCTGAGGCTTTATATAAATTCATCAAACATAATTCAAAGTAATGCTGTGACAACAACATCTTGGTTAATACAGAAACCTTATGAATTTTGTGTAATATTAATTATGGTACTTTTTAAGTGAAGAAAATCACTAACTATTTACAAAATATTATGGTTTATACATTTTTTACTTTTATACAAAATATTTAAACATTTACATTTTATTATCTAAAAAGATCTAAAAAGACTTATATATTATACATGTGTTATTATAGTATATATAACCTTCCTAGTTAACCTAGTTAAGCCTTTAAATGTCACTTTAAGGTGTATAGAAGTGTCTTGAAAAATATTTAGTCAAATATTATTTACTGTCATCATGGCAAAGAAAAAATAAATCAGTTAAACAGAAATTGGGGAAAAAATAAAAAGGGCAGCTAATAATTCAGGGGGGCTGCTAATTCTGAATTCAACTGGATATATATATATATATATATATATATATATATATATATATATGGTACTTTTTCTGGTACTTGTATGGCATAATAATATATAATAATAATATAGTATTGACATTTTTTTATTTACATTTAATAATATTGTAAATTTTATAGTAAGTTGTATACACATTTATAGAATTATGAATTTTAAATAAAATTATTATATTGTTTATCATATAATTGTACTCTGAGGCATTAATAAATATATATGAGTAATATCACATGAGTAGTCATGCAATATGGCTGTATATCGCACTAGTGGAAGGCGTGTTGGCACGAGGCCACTGGCAGTATCACCAGTGATGATATACAGCCATATCGCACTGTTGCTGATGTGATATTGTATGATGTTACATTCATACAACAGTTTAACGGCATACTTGTGTATAAAAAAGACAATCAAACATGGAGAGTCTCAAACATCCTTTTGGACAAAGAACTACTTTCTATCATTTATTATTTATTCACATCTGCATTTGAGCGGCAGAAACCATTGCTTGAAAAAACAATTCTTTAGAGCTAGTATTTGAATGAATCTCTTGCGTAATGTCTAAAGTGACAAAACAGGTGATTTTGCTCACATTTTAGGTTTATAAGGCTAAACAGCATGAAATGCCATCAGTCTACAGAGATTTCCCAGTATTTCTCCGTTTCAATCAGGAGATCACAATAATTACCCTAAAAAAGCCAAAGCAAAGCAAACACTAACCAATAACGATGGTTTAAATACAGCACCACAACATATAAAAGAGAGAGATTGACTTTAAATGTCATTTACCTGTTTTATAAAGTTTTGATCAGCTGTGATTTAAACTAGAAAAAGAAAATGCTGAGTTTTTCTCTCCTAAGGACTTATTGTGCAGTCTCTGTCGCCGTGTTGTAGTGCAAACAGCTTTGCTCTGCTCAGTATGACAGGCTAATGGAGGCCGACACATTGTATCTACGAAATTCTAAATATTTACAAAAGACACTATCCTCATAAACAATCTGCATAGTTGCAATCTAAACAACTACATTCTTGCCCTAAAAATTCTCAAAATTCTATTATGTTGTCCAACAGCTGCAATGTTTGTTAAACTGTAGTGAGTTAGTGTAGAATTGCTTGTAATTCTGTGTGGGCGGATGAACGCAGAAGGGTGAAGAGGCTGAATGAGTGCTGTCATTGCAGAATATCGCACAGCTATCAGCCAATCAGATTTGAGGACTATATTTATTCAATTAGAAATTATATCAAAGAATATTATTAAAATGTTAATAACTTTTAGAAGCATAAAACAACAAATCAATTCTTGTTTGCAATTATTTTTGCTTTCATGTCATTTAATAGCATCTGTTTTTCCAGTGAACAGACCTTGACTCCTTCCACGTTCACAGTTTGCTGAACTTTTTACTGATAGCATTTTTTAAAATAGTCGGCCTCAACTTAATAAGTACCATAGAGCCTCTCCTTCACCTGTGTCATTATTATAAAAGTGTTCATCAGCAGCGTCTGCACTGTCAAGACGAGAGAGTGTAAAAAATCCCAAGCACCATTACTCACAATGTCCCAACAGCACCCGCTTTATGACCTTTTATGAGAGCAACACTCAGTGATTACAGCAGACGGGGAGATTATTTATTCATGACAGTAATTTGAGACTGAAATACTAAGGTTTCTCAAACATTCAACAAATCTTCCAGTGTTTACAACATACCATTTGTCTCTTCCGCCAATATGTTGTTGGCGTAGTAAAAATCTTTATGAGCTTTTTCTGTGTGATGAACAGCTTTATCTGTCTCTTTTCTTTTTTGGTTTTTGAATGGAAACGTGCACTAGCGGGGGATTGAGCTCTCACTCCTCCACCGTATGCCAGCAGCCCCAGCGGGCACACACCTCATTTACACTGAGCGTTTGAAGATCAGATGACAAAAAACACACTGCAGCTCAGTGCTGTCAAACACTCCAGGACTTCATTTCATGTGGCACAGGAGAGCTCAGTCCACCAAATGATGACTCTATGAAAGCCATCCCACTAAACTATTTGGATATGATAATGTAGTAATTTGTTTTTGGTGAAGTGCTTTGTTTATTACTCAAAAATATATGTCTAATTTTTAACGTTTAAGAAAGTAATAGCTGTTGGAATTAAAAGTACATAATAGGCGTATGAAAAAGATACAAAACTATTTGTGTTTATGTCTGGTTAGTTGTGTGTATCATATCCAATTGCATTAGTTTTTTTAAATTAATATTTTAAAAAATATAAAAATAGCTCAAATATAAAATATTAATAACAAAATAAGAGATTAACACATCACCATTTTTTCTCAGAAAACATATTTCTAAAGGTGCTGTTGACTTAAGTATTTCAACGGATGTTAGTAACAATAAAATAAATCCATATATGCAAGAAAACAATCTAATTAGTTTACAAAATGAAATGACACAGGGAAAAAGTATTGAACGCATGAAGAAAGGAAGGTGTAGAAAGGCAGTGAAAGTCCAGACAGCAGCTGAAATCTCTCAGTAGCTATTTAGCAGCCTTCTGCTCTTCGTCAGTGTAAATGAATATTCGCTGCTTCAGTCCAACATCTACATTATCAGAATGATGAAGATAATTCTAGAGTGGACATTTCAGCAGAAAAATGATCCAAGACACAGCCAAAGAAACTCTCAAATGCTTTCAGAGAAAGAAAATTAAGGAATGGCCCAGCCAATCACCTGCCTTGAATACGATAGAAAAAACGAATTAAAAATCAGATTTGATAGATGAGACCATCAAGATTTTTACACTCTTGTTGAAGTCTGTGCAAGCATCACACCTGAACAATGCATATAACTTATTTCTCCATAGTTGGTATATTTAAGCTGGCAGCACCAAAAAGCTGCCTTTATATGAAGTATTAAATACATTTCAGTAGTTCTGTACTTTATCATTGTGTCATTCTAGTGTTATTACAACAATTTTTTTACAAGACTTTTTGTTTTACTTTATTTTATGCTGATGTATGTATTGTGTGAGTTTTTACCAAAATCTGGTTCAATTCCATGTCAACTGCTTCTTTAGAAATATTATTACTAGGAAAAAAACGATGTGTTCAATACTTATTTTCCCCACTGTAAACGAGAACACACAATCACAAAGATGTGTACAGAGCCGTTTATCACACAGGAAAAGCTCATAAAGACTTTTACTATGCCAACAACATATTGGTGGAGAAGATAAATGGCATGTTGTAAACACTGGAAGATTTTTTGAATATATATTGATTTATAAGTCAGAATTATTTGCCCCCCTTTAAATTTTTTTCTCTTTTTTAAATATTTCCCAAATGATGTTTAACAAAGCATGTAAATTTTCACAGTATGTCCTATAATATTTTTTCTTCTGGAGAAAGTCTTATTTGTATTATTTTGACTAGAATAAAAACAGTTAAACATTTTTTAAACAGCATTTTAGGGACAAAATTATTAGCCCCTATGGGCTTCATTATAAACCATCATTATAAAATAACTTGCCTAGTAACCCTAACCTGCCCAGTTAACCTAATTAACCTAGTTAAGCCTTTAAATGTTGCTTTAAGCTGTACAGAATTGTCTTGAAAAATATTGAGTAATATATTATTTACTGTCATCATGGCAAAGATAAAACAAAACAGTTATTAGAGAAAAGTTATTAAAACTATTATGTTGAAAAAATCTGCTCTTTGTTTAAAAGAAAACGGGGAAAAAATAAACAAAGGAGCTAATATTTCTGGGGGGCTAATAATTC